TTACTTGTAGCAGAGTATGTTTACAGTGTGTTCTTAGTACTTTTACTGCAGTAAAGGGTCTGAATACTTGGTCCACAGAGCGGATCAGTCAGACGGTGGAGATCACCAAACACACCGTGGACATCGAGGAGAAGGGGGTGAAGCTGAAGCTGACCATCGTGGACACTCCCGGGTTTGGAGACGCTGTCAACAACACTGAGTGGTGAGTGTTCGCTTTGTTCACTGTCATGGTTCTTCTACTTACATGATACGTACATGATAAGAAAACGTATCATGTTTTATATGCTACCTTAAAGATGCTGTTATAATTAACGAGTTAACATTAATTTTCAGACCTGTGTTGCTTCCAAAAGGAGATCTTTTTATGTTCTTTGTCCTTCTGTGTAGAAAGTCTTCATCAGCTGATGTTCATATGACACCTGGCACATAAATAACTCCCCAAACTAAAGTGCACATCACATGTAACGATACATGACAAGGTTACTATTGAATATTCTCACTAAAGGTAAAATATTCATGTAATAAACATAAATACTGAATGAGCAGGAGCCTCGCTTTTAAGGAATAGTTTGACATTATCTTTCAGTATTTTATTTTTAGGCTCACCATATGTTTTGTTTGTAAACATCTTAGTAATTAAAGTAACTAAAGCTTTCAGATAAATTAATACAAATAACTTTATTAATTAAACACCTTTCAAAATAAAGTTACAAAGAGCTTCACAATAAAAACATATGTTAGAAATACATAAAATCCAAAACACGATATAAAAGAATTTGAAATAATAAGTGGAGTAAATAAATAGTGGAGTACTTCTCTGCAATATGGAAATACTCAAGTAAAGTACAAGTACCTCATGTCTGTGCAGTACTTAGTTACTTTCCTCCATCGGTGTTGATCAAACTGATCTCACTTTTAACAAAATAGCGAACTTTTCCCAAACCGTAGAAGTATTCTTTTAAGTTATTGTATCTGTATCTGTATATCTTTGAGGTAAAACACACGACTGTGTTTGTGTTCGGCAGCTGGAGGAACGTCACCGACTACATCGACCAGCAGTTTGAACACTACTTCAGAGACGAGAGCGGACTCAACAGGAAGAACATCCAGGACAACAGAGTGCACTGCTGCCTGTACTTCATCCCTCCGTTTGGACACGGGTACTAGTACACACAGTACGCAGACAAGTACATCAATGCTCATGTGTGTCTGTGTGTGTGTGTGTGTGTGAAATGCTCAGTAAAGTGCTCGTGGTCCTGCAGGCTCCGTCCCGTCGACATCGAGTTCATGAAGGCGCTGCAGGAGAAAGTGAACGTGGTTCCTCTCATCGCTAAAGCCGACTGTCTGACTCCCTCTGAGATAAAGAAGCTCAAAGAGCGGGTGAGACAAACATGGCATGACAATATTTAGGCGATTGTGGCTAAGTGGATAGCAGTGCCGTCTTTCAATCAGAGGGTCGGCGGTTCGAACTCCGGCTCCGCTAGTCGCATGTCGATGTGTCCTTGAGCAAGACACTTAACCCCAAAATTGCTCCCGTAGTTGTGCCTACAGTGTAGAAATGTGATAGACTCTGAATTGTAAGTCGCTTTGGATAAAAGCGTCTGCTAAATGACTGTAATGTAATGACACACATGATACGATACATTAATAATGCATGAAATATGACGACCGTACCTGCAGTAGAGCCTTGATCCGACAGCCGTACGAGCTTAAATCTCCAGTCTGTGGACAGTCGAGTGTTCGTCATGTTCTCTAAGAAAGAAAGAAAAGCCTCCGAGAGGATAAACAACACAAGTAATCACACTTTTATATATATATATATATATATATATATATATATACTGTATACTATAATACGTTTGTCTGTTTATTTGCATGTTGATTTAAGATACAATAAGATAAAATTAAAATAATATATATAAATACATAAAATACATAAAAAACAAAAAGAGAACGTTATTAATCCTGAAATAAATTCTTGTGCCAGAGTTTAATCAAAGATTACAACAATATTTAGTGTATAAGAAGTAACACTGACACCTCTGCTAATAGAAGCTAAAATAGATCATAAATAATATTGTCCATGATATGGTTTTTATTGTTCTCAATCATTTGAAAATAAATATAGTTCAGCTTATAAAAAATAAATAAATAGCACAATCATATTTAATTTTATTCTATAATTCATTTATTTTATTCTGATTTATTAAGATGCACTTCAGGCAGTTGAATGAAAACGTAGTATTTAATAAAATTGAGCTTCAGATCTGATTCATTTCAGTGACTCAGTTTCTCCAGAGATTTGATCTCAACGGGAAATCTTTTCTTTCAGGGCGTCGACTTCCTGCTGAAGTTGAGCAATAAGTGGGAGGCTGTGTGTGTGTGTGTGTGTGTGTGTGTGTGTGTGTGTGTGTGTGTGTTTCTACTGTTACCAACACATCTCCTCTGTGTGTGTCGTCCCTCCAGCTGAGAGAAGAGATCGATAAATTCGGGATAAAGATCTATCAGTTCCCCGACTGCGACTCCGACGAGGACGACAAGTTCAAGCGTCAAGACAAAGAGCTGAAGGTGAAGTCTGAATCCGATGCTGCTATGAGTACTTTTTGCGTGACAGTACTTCCCCATTACGGACGCAGGACTTCTACTTTTAATGTACTTTTAATGTACTCTGCAGGAGAGCTCTCCGTTCGCTGTGATCGGCAGCAACACCGTGGTGGAGGCCCGAGGTCAGAGGGTGAGGGGGCGGCTCTACCCGTGGGGCATCGTGGAGGGTAAGACGCCCCACAGAGATCCATCCCATAATCCCCGTCTCTCTCTCTCTCTGTGACGTTTATCTCCCCCCGTCTCCCCCAGTGGAGAACCCGTCACACTGCGACTTCGTGAAGCTGAGGACCATGCTGATCAGAACCCACATGCACGACCTGAAGGACATCACCAGCGACGTCCACTACGAGAACTACAGAGCCCAGAGCATCCAGACCATGACCAGGTGAGACAGGGTCACCAGAGCCC